AGAAAATTCCTGGCCAACTCGCAACCGCTCCCACGATATCGGGGAAAACTTCAAAGGCATCGAAGTTCGCCGCCATCGCCGAATCGTCGCGTCCCCCCCTCGCAGACAGGACACACGCGAAATTTATGCGAATTAATTAACCCCCTCCCCTCTCGAGGATCGGATACTTGGAGAGGAAACTTTTCGAGCTGGTGCTTCCGTTAACCGCGAAAATTGACTGGATGAAAGGATTTCGGGACGAGCGAAAATCGAAATGTAAATATTCGAGACGGATTGTAATCGCTCTCGGATATTTATATTTTTGTAATAAATAAGCTCGACACTCGAATTATGTGTTTCGATACACGCGTACGTACGTATCGTTTGTTATTATTTTTTTTTTATTTCTATTTTCGAGAAATGTATAATTTACATATTGTTCGTTCGTTTGTTTTCATTCGTTCGATCAGTGAACTGTGTCTAATTAATAATAATACTAGAACGAATGAATTATAATATCGTATTTTTTGAGAATAACGACGCGATAAGAATAATTGGAGAAATTTTAAAACGAAAACTACGATTCTCACGTACGATTAATCAAAGGGAACGTTACACTAGTATAAATAGTGTCCTCTTCGGACGTTCTCATATGTCTTCGCGATTCACTCCATTGTAATCTTCAATCTTACCCTAACGATCCCCCCCTTGGCTGGGCCCTGGCTAGGCATGCTGCCAACTTGTCCGTTTCTATTCACCGATTCTCTAAATTTCACGGCTCCGTCCCGCTATCGCTATAATTCTTCCCTCTATCTGTTCAAGGCCGGTGCAACAACCTTCGCCCCTTTGTTCGACGCCTTTCGCGCTCTCGCGATTTAAATCCTATCCTCCTGGATTGTTAAATTGTTCGCTCCGTTTACGCGGCTCTTCCTTCCATCCTTCTATCATCTTTCTATCTCGTGTGCCACGAAGAAAGAAGATATCCTCGTCATCGATTACATTTAAAACAGAATTAAACAAGTCTTCTAACCATTCTCCGTTTCACGCTTGTGAACAAGCATTTCGATTTCGTGTGTAAATTATATTTCAGGATTAAAATTTCGCCACGTTTTCCATCCTCAATTTCTATTCACGCGTGTAACGAAGATGTTGTTATCGTCATTGTTCCCTATTGGACAATGGTCGAAACAATTCGTTGCCATTTCACGTATAAATTGTATTATAAAATTGTCCTTTCTGTCCACGAGATGCGCGACAAAATTGTCATTGTTCCGTATCGAAGAGTAACGAGAGGATCCAATCGATTCCCAAATTGATTATTTTAAGGTATAACCTTTCATTTCCTCTCAATTTCACGCGGAATCTTTCCATGCACGCGCGATAAAGAAGATACGATCGTTATTGTCCCGTATCGGTTGGAAGGGCGGCGTTGGTTCGATGCAGTCTCCCGCTTTTAACCCGAGACCCGCGTCGTTTCCAGCGGAAACGGAAGGGTGCCGTTAATTTCTCAATGTCCAAAACTGGGAACGAGTCGCGGCCAGCCTCGCACGACCGGCTCCGCTGCCGTTTTCCGGACGGACGTTAAAGTGCAGAGATGTTTTATGACGGGGACGACGAGCGTTATTCCGCCAATTTACGATTCTGGCCGAAATTACGATTCTCTGTAAAAAAAAAAAAAAATTTTTCTCCCGCCTCGCGCGCAGATCTTTCCGCTCTTTGTACTCGCGCTACGCTTATTTCTTTCCCGATTGTAAAGCTCATTCCACTGCTCCCCCGTCAAAGAAATCACTCGAGAATTACGTTCGAATCGCTCTTCTTTTTTGTATACGATTCCTCCCTTTGGTCGAACAGCAATTTCAATCGCAAGTACCCTTTAAGTAACGTCTATGGTGCTCGATCAAACGTGTACGCGAATCGGAAAAAAAGAAAAAAAAAAAAAGAAAAAGAAAAGAGTAGAAGATGCGCGAAATTATCGTTGTGCGACGATTCGCGTGAGGATGAAGAATCGAGAGACAATCCCTACTGTACGATGTGGATGAAATGGATGATGGAGAGAGAGAGAGAGAGAGAGGAAAGAGAGAGGCAGACGAATAAATCGAAAGGAAGGTTCGATCCGAATCGATTCGACGACGCAAATAACCGGAATTAATCGAACTGCGCTTTGGCTTTTAATCGCGACAAGAGCCAGGAACCGGGTTCACCCCGGTTATAAGAGAGACGAAACGCACGCAGCCCCGGGGGGGATTCGAACTTCGAAGACGAATGTCATCAAAGCGATTGCGAGACGCGGTGTCTCTGCCTTCTCCTCTCCCTCTCTCTTTCTCTCTCTGTCTCTCTCTCTGTCTCTCTCGCTACACGAGAGAGATTGCACGACGCAGAGATCGCGCAGGATAATCTAAATAATCATCGTCTGCAGGGAAAACGCGATTCCTTGATGGCGGGCAACCCCTTCGTTAAAACGGTAGTAACGTCATCGACGAGCGTGGCCCGAGGCGGGCCCCTCTCCCCCCTCTTCTCCTCCCTACG